TTCGTCGATTGATCTACCTCAGCATCCGATCTACCACCTAACTCGGCATCCGAGTCACTTTCCAATAGGAAAATTTTCAGCTCGGCATCCGAATCAATAGCCAACAGGGAAGTACCAGATCACGCACTATCACATTTGTACTCCTCAATACTTTTCCTTATTGACCTTAAGATTAAATTGAGAGAGTATATATACAGAGAGAAACAAGGCTAGGTAAGAGGTTATCTGATGAATACTGTTTCAAAGGAACTTAGTGATCAGTAAAAACTTGAGATAAATCCATTAGGTTACAGAAGTAAAAGCACAGTCAGTCCCTTTTTATTTGTTTTTTGTTGGTTAGCAGTAACTACTCTCAGTGAGAGAAATCACTACAGTACATGGGTTATAGATCGAGCCCAATAAGCACTGTTTGCTTTCRGCAACTTACAAAAATTAATCCCAGCTGTCCTGTGAAGCTTTTACACTAGTAGGTGAATTATTCCTAAAAGAAAACAACTTAAGAGTGATACATTTCGCTTTCAACTTGTGCTTCATATTTTTCACTCTCACTTTTTTTTTTTTTTTTTGTTCTGATATGTAGCGTGTTCATTGTACACACACATCTGAAGAATGGAGAGAGGATCCTTCGAGGAAGCTGGTGAAAGAGCTTTTTTTTTTTTTTTTTTTAAAAAAAAAGATCTTTTTCTCTTTAATCTTTCGTGCTTATTATTATTATTATTTTTTTTTTAAAGTTAAGGGGATGAACCTTTGGCCTTCTCCTAAGTGGACCCCACAAACCCATAATTTACACATGGTCCCACCAACACAGCGATCAAGACCATTCAATGGGTGGGCCAGCCTTTGATGGTTGCATGGCCTCAAGTGTACATAGATTGTAGACACTGGAGCAGCTGGTTCCTTTTGAGTAAGGTTTTACATAAAGAAAACAAAAGGAGAGGTGGCCATGATAACTTCTTTTGGCAAATGATTAACAAAGTATGAAACACCATCATTTTACAATCCGAGCAAGTCATCATTGAATATGTAGGAATATATATGTTGATTCCCTTCCAATGGTTGATAGTATGTCTACGTACCCAAATAAGATGGTTTATTCCACTCAGAATCAAAGAAAAAAAAAGATTTTAATTTATTAATTTTTAATTATTCCTGATTCCATGCGACTCACTCACTCTCTACTGACAAAATCATCCTATGGAAACTGATGGGTAGCTTTCAAAGGACAGGCCACAGCTAGGCCAGCCCTGAAATAACGGAATAACAGTCAATATGTAACGGGTATAAAGGTGCAACTGTGTAACGGCCATAAATTAATAAACAGTGTGACACATTTGCTCCTGCATGTGAGAAGCCAGATGCAATTCTGATGAGACCGTGGGCCATGCCACTGGTGAAAGAACGGATGGGATCATAGTCTGTGGTGGAGCCATATTCATTCATTTCCTTCCCCTCTACCTTGGATTGGATATGTAAAGCTCAACAGACAAGATTTGGGTTTTTTTTTTTTGTATGGTTACTATTAGTATATAAATATACTATAACAATACAAACGAGGAAAAAGAGAAAAGAGATGAGTCATGTAAAAGGTAGCTTTTGTTCTTCATGAAGAACATACGACGAGGAACAAGAAAAGTGCCCCTTTATTAAGAAGGCTTATCTATATGATAAGTATTCCGGAGCATAAGTTAGATGCATCCAAACACAACCCAAGTAATAAAAATTATAAAAGTTTTCATGTACTAATGTAGAAAAGAAAGAACAGGAAAAGGTTGAATGAAGGCAAGATCAATTCCAAGATGTCGATAATTTCTGGATGTACTTTTTTTTTAAAGGTATGGATGTGCTGGTTTGGTTTAAGTTTGTGGGTTTTTGGAGGTGGGCTTCTTTTAACTTTGATTTGGGTGTTTTGTTTTTCTTTCTTTACTAGTATCTTCTGCAGCAAGATCTTGTATTTATTTCTCAAAACAAATGGATCTATTGGAAATACCCTTTGATTTCATATGCTGGAATCATGGCCAAGAACGCCAAATATAGCTTTTCCTCTCTCTCTCTCTCATTTCTTCTGTTTGAAGTCTCTACATATTCCCTTGGCAAAGTGACCCAATACCTACAACTTGGAGAATCTCCAAACATGCAAAGCAAGAAAGCTTTAGTAGAAGAGATTGGATCAAACCAAGCATATTGCATGGATGATGACGATAATGAACAACTAAAATAAATAAAGTGATCTACGATTATAGTCCAAAAGAAGGATTTTGTTTTCTATCTTTTTCCTATTTATTTATTCTTCTTTCTTCAAAAGTTAATTTGTTATAAGGTCAAGATTATTTGCTTTAATTTTTGTTTTCCTTTTTCCTTAATGGGTTCTATATATATATATTCTGAGTATTTATATCAATATCCCATCATATTTTGTGGGCGGAATTCAATTTTCCATATGAATATATGGTTTCTCTTGAGATGATAAATTTGGGTAGCTTTTAAAACTTTGAAAAGAGACTTGTGATTCGAGCCATGGGAGACAAAGTTGTCCCCTTGTGTTGGAATGTGAATAGAAAGGCAGAGGATAAAAAATTGTTTTTTTTTTTAATGGGGAATGCTTGTTCTCCTTGGCAAGCCCACAGCAATACATGTAATTTATAAACCTAATAAATAATGGGGGAGAAGAAGAAAAGATAGAGAGGAGAGAGAAGGGTCTTGGGATTTTAAGCAGAGAGAGAGAGAGAGGACTAACTCATCAACTGCTAGGCAGTGGAGACAATCAATTTTCGGTTGTCAGCATGTGACCAATCCTCTTGTGATCCCTACTAATTCCTTCTAATCCCCTGCTTCCCTTATTAAAGAAATGTCAACAGGATCCTGTAGTCTGATTCGTGGGTCGGAGTTGCAGTCTTGCAGAGTCATAAAAAATAACAAGGGTGGAAATTAAGCTCCCACCCTTTAAGACATTTAATTATTAATAATGCACGTATGCATGCATTCTCTCTTCATCAAAAGAGATATTAATACAAGCTTTGTGTGTCTTATTCTTAGGTCGTTGTAACTCATTTCAGGAATGTAAAACCTTTCATTAGGAAGCTAAGAGCATATTTTGATGATACAGAGAATACAATCACAACTCCAACTCCAAATATTTTGAGTAAAGGGGGCCAAGAACAAATTAAGTACTACAAAGGAACAGTTGTAACGGCTGAAGTCAAGAGTGACTTCACACTTGACTTCGTCAAGTCTCTCTCTCTCTCTGGTACAGATGATTTGTTGTTAGAAACAGCAGTAACCATGGACACTTTTCTTGCTTTTCTTCTCTAACTTGATATATTTTGATGTTGATGCATAAAACATAGTGGGCATTAGGGTTTATATTATCACTCCAATGTTGTCAAGGCAAAACGCCTAAAGATAATAATGACCTCTTGTCACCATAATTATCATCGTATTCATCATTAATACTGACTCGTCTCGGTGTAAATATAACAATTAAAGACGGTCATACTTCCCCGTTCCCACGTTAAGTTTGAAAGCGAAAACCCAAGGTGCCAAATAAAGAGAAAAGGTAGAGAGAGAGAGAAGATCATGAGGAGCTAGATCAGTCAAATGTCTGTCGAAATGTCATTTCAAACTACAATACATCCATGAATAGGGTCCATCAGTAGGTTGTGTATGTACCGTAGGGAGGCATCAGTATGTGTCGCAAATAAGCCCAACCAATAGGACTAAGGACTTTGGCTCCCACTATTGCAGACCTCTTCCCAATCTCTCTCTCAGTCACTCTCTCTGTTATCTATCTATCCATACGTTTCAGTAAAGCTGCCAGCAAATCCATACCGTCCCGTCCAACCTTACGAACATCGATCTTATATTATTGGTAGTTTGGTACTACTGGTATTATTGCTCCTTCCTTTCTTGTGTTTATATTTATTATATATTAGAACTCTCTCTCTCTCTCTCTCCTTCTATTACAAGCTAATCATTTGATTTGAATTTCCAAGCGTAGTGAATCTCACACGGTATATGTTCCATCCATCAACGAAAACATCTCTCCAGTCTCCACTACCCAAAGTAAAGGGTATGGCATCATATGCACTCAAAAAGCTGATGTATTTGCAGGTTGAAAAGCCTATTCCAACTACATTTCGAACCCAATATCCTCAACTGTCTTTCTTATCCAGGGAGCTTATATCCTTCCTTCCTTCTACACCACTATTTGTAGATTTCATGGACTAGTGGTAGAGAAGACTGAAAAAAGAGCAAAACAACCTTATAGGGATTTCCTTTTCAGAATAATAATAATAATAAAATCTTGCAGCTGAGACAAAAGTTTGATCAGAACATGAATCCAAATGGGTATATATATATATATATATATATATATATATATATATATATGACTGTATATTTTGTTTTCGAATTAAAGCAATATTTTTTATTAGAGAAGACTGAAAAAAGAGCAAAACAACCTTATAGGGATTTCCTTTTCAGAATAATAATAATAATAAAATCTTGCAGCTGAGACAAAAGTTTGATCAGAACATGAATCCAAATGGGTATATATATATATATATATATATATATATATATATATATATATCCATGCAATGTACCATTGACCCTAAAAGTGGAAGAGACTTTGATTATTTTGAGTCATTCACTAGATATCATATAGCTTTGTTGAAAACATGGGTATTTGCACACTGTAGCGCTGTATATTTGTTTTGACGCATGCATGTGTAACACATGAGAAAGACAACTCTTAGGTATTGATATCCTAACTAAATCAGGAGATAGTGATTTATAAAGGGACCTTCAAAACTTCTTTTCCCTTTCTATGGGCAAGTGCTGCTGGATTTCAATCCTCAATGCCTCAGAGATTTTTTTTCTATTTTTCAATGATGAGAGCAGCGTATATGAATTAGTAACTGATCATCCATTAGAACTCCTTCTTTCATCAAAGCTAGCTAGCTAGGAGAGATTAATTAAAAAGAAGAAATGGGGGAATTAAATAATAAAAACCATTAGCATTACCTGATGAAACAAAAATGGATTTACAGAAACTGGGTCTAGCATTGATATCGATGTATTTTTCTATATGGGTTCCTACAATACTAAGATCAAAAGAAAGAAAGAAAGAAAGAAAGAAAGAAAGAAAGAAAGAAAAAACAGCTCTCAGAAGTAAATTCAACGTTCAATGTTTTGCTGCTGCTTACTCAGAGAGCCAAAATTGTAAGCTGGGTACCAGCTCATAAGAAGAGTCACTATTCACTTATCCAAAGGACCATGGATATGATCCGTATCATCACTGCGAGGTCTCGTCATCTTGTTCGATTTCAGACGCAGGTTCTTCTTCTTCTTCAAAGCAGTCAATGCCATAAGCAGCGTGGCCATGTCCAAAAGCTTTGATATGGTCCTTGAGAGACCTCTTGTGCTTGAAATCAGACCCACAGATGCAGTACCACAGTTTCCCACAGTTCTTCTCGTGGGTTCTCCAGTCACCTCTCACGGCGAAGGCCTTGCCGCATTTCCTGCACATGAAGGGCTTGATTCCATGCTTTCTCTTGTAATGGGTCTGCAGAGTTCTGAAATCCTTGAGTGGTTTGGCTCTTGGGTGATCGATGTTGTTCCTACAGCCTGGTGCACAGCAATAGCAAGGCAACCTCAGCATGGCTGTTGGTTGGGTGCCCCTCAGAGACTCCGGCCCTTTTCTATACTGAGATCCATGCCCCCACATATGCATCTGCAAACCAAAGAAACATGCCGGAGAGAGTAAGTACTTCCACCAAAAGGGGTTAGAACCAGAAGCTACAAATTGTGCATCCACCATTGCTCAGTTTTCCAGAAATTAAACTGCACAAAAATGCGATCTAATGTATTAAAGTGGAACTTTCTGCTCCAAAACTAGTCTTTTCTGTTGCAGGCTTTAAGAACATGTGGTTTGTTCAATTCACAACGGTGATCTGAAACAAGATTCATATTCTAGATCTCTCTCTCTCTCTCTGAGCTCCTGTTAAGACCGAAAGCGTATTCTTAATCAAGAAACAGATGATAATTGGAAAACCCTGGATATAAATTGTGTATTCGCTAGCTTGAAATATTGTGTGAAATTTGCCCACCATAATACCCACAACAATAAATTAAAGAAGAAAAAGGGAGATATGAATTCGTGGTTAAACATGGAAATAAATTCTGAAGCAGGTATAAGTTGGTGCAGGATCAATAACAGTGGATACCATATTCCGTTGTATGGGTTTTTTCATGCATGTGAGGATTGGTTTGTTTCAGAGAGCGGAGTGTTCAGGTTGAAAAGTTGTGTTCTTTGACGAAGATCATCTGAACCCTGGAAGAAACTGGAACATTTTTTCAGTTTTGCACGCGCGCCAATGTGTTGAGGAGAACACAAACTTCAAAGTACCAAAAGCATAAGGAACATGCTTGTGTTGTTCAATCACATAAAGAAAGGCACTGATCTGAGTCTCAGTTGGACCGATGGTCATATCTTCAAATCCCAAAACCAATAAACCATGCAAATGCAAACAAAAACTGAAAGCATGTATGACTATATAAATACACATAATTTTAAGAAGAAGAAGATCAACTCAGACCCATATGACTAATATACTATCTTCATGTTGATCAAGCTTAAAGAAAGTGAAAGATTATAATCCAAGTGGAAGCAAAGAAAAGAGATGATGGGTTTTTCTATTTCATCTTTTCTTCAAAATTAAAAAGAAAAAGCTCAAAGAAGAGGGAAGGAATCATGGTTCATGTTAAGAAACATACCTGCATGTTGTTGTATCTATTGAAGGTCTTGCAGCAAACAGGACAAGCGAACTGTGTAGGACCAATGAGAATCTGAGAAGGGGTAGGGATCCAATATTGGCCCTTATTGAGTCTGTTCGTTGTATAGCCTGAAGCAACAGTAACGCCTTCCGTCTCTGTTTTTTCTGTAGATGAAGAGACCGAAGAGATCAGATCAGCAGCACTCGGACTGGGGAGCCCGATATGTAGGGCAACAGTTACAGTTTCATCGTCGGCAATACTAGAGAAGCTCTCATCTTTAGGCTTGTTCTTGTCCTCATCCATGGCACTGCAGGAGGCCCCTTGTTCTTCATGTCTGGTCGGGCTCAAGCTAAGGAGAGGAAGAGCTTCTCTGAGGGGAGGAGAGGGAGGAGGAGACTGATAGTGAACCAAAGAGTTCTTTCTGTCGGTGCTGCTGATGATATTATTTTGATAGTAGTTGTATGCGTAAGGAGTATAAGATGGGTTGGAGGAAGAGGAGGTGGAAGAAGAAAAATGGTGATGAAGAGATCTGTAGTTGAACCATCCATTGAAGAAATTAGAGTAGGGGTCTGTCATGATGAAAGGTGAGAGGGGAGAATGGATGGTTGGGTGGATGGGAGGTTATTATAGAGAGAGAGAGAGAGAGAGAGAGAGAGAGAGAGAGAGACTAAGAGAGAGTAAACCCAAAAGAAAAATAAAGATAACTCAAAAGTGGAAGGTAAATAAAACCAAATGAAAAGAAGCAAATGGGTGGACAGTTCAAAAAATCAATACTAATAATAATAAGGTAGACCCAATAAAAGAAAAGGAGAGAAAGAAATCACCTCTTGCTACGGAGAGAGAGAGAGAGAGGCAAGAGAGGAAGGGGATAGTGGGATAGAATGAGATAATCTTGGGACTTGAAAGAACAAACTCCTTGTTGGGTAGTGTGTGAAAAGGGAAAAAATGCACACAGCAACCCAAGAAGAGAAATAAAATTAAATATATAAAAATGAAAGAAAAAACTCAGAAAAAAAAAAAAAAGAATGACAAGGTCAGAGGTTAGGGTTGGAGTTGTCTCCCATCCCACACGAGTGTCTTATGTGCCTGAGGCTGAGAGAGAGAGAGAGCCTCGGTACAACCCGAACAATACGTATAAGAGAAAATTAAACTTTTTTTTTTCTCTTGCTCGGGAAGCAAGTAGTTTAGTTTCACTCAGTGCCGGCATTTGCTTCGGTGGACGCGCTTTGGTCGGCTCGGCTCAGTACGAGCTGAGAGACTGTCCCAATCCTCCTCTCATCTTCCTTGTCTTATATACTTGACCCTGTTCATACATACATACATACTCGCATGCACGCCCAGAATCCACTGGTCCTCCCATCACCCACACTTCACCTTTTGCCTATTGAATTCAATCCAGCTATTCTCACTCCCAGTCTACAACTCCTCAACCTCCACTTCACAGTTGTTGTGCATGTAGTATTACGTTTCTCTTACTCTTTTACATTGCACCAATTCAGCCAGTACATTACTAACTACTAACTACGTACATTAGAAATAAAAAAAACTATTATCTACATTTAAGTTATATTTAGTGTCATTGTCATTTTTATTTGCAATGTTTTAGCTTGATTAATACAAATTTTATGAGAATATATTGTTTTCTACAATAAATGTTTTGAATTAGTAATACAATATTTGGTACCATTGTTGTTTCTTCATGAAAAGTTAAATTTGGTGTTTCTACTATAAATGACAACACTCAATCCAATATTTATGTTTTTTCTTTAGTGGAAATGACTATATGGTGTTATGTGATTAAACAATTTCTCAAAAATTTGTATTGACCAACCTAAAACATTGCAAGTTAAAGTAATAATAGTATCAAATACAACCTTAATTTAATGTGGTTTTTGCCATGTTTTTTTTCTATATGTTTTTGAAATATTGCACCATTACTAACATTATTTAATTGCATTTTCCTTTATGTCTTCCTATTAATTAACCAATTGATCAAATGGGGTCGTGGGTAATTGATTCAGGAAAGGCTGTGCCTGTGACTCACTGGTGACCATTAAGGGTTTATGCATGGATCTCATCTTATTAACAGTGTCTGCATAAAACCCATGAAATGGAACTCCATGATTTGCTTAAGAACCATTATGGGTCTGTCCTTCAGTGATAATTATTATTGGGTAATAATTCAGCTCTTCTTTGCGAGCCAACAGGGAAAAGAAACCGTACCCTCATCCTGATCATTCTCCAATCCATATCACGAATGTCCATGAAAGTATGTAGTATTATTCTTTAATTGCCTCATAAGGGGTAGATGGGACACCCTATGGGCCCTTAATTAGGAGGGATTCATGGGTCATGGCTAGCTCTCTTTCTTTATTGACAAATTGTGGGTATTTGATCAAGGAAAGCATTTGTCATCCATATTTTGCGGAATCCAGGATCTTCTTAGATGGGCAGATGGATCTTTCTCTAGGTCAACTATTCTCAGGTGGGGTAATTGATTTATGTTGAGTAATTTGGTTTTTCGATCATGTGTTCTTAGGGCATTAATTAATTACCCCTCAAATAAGCCATGGCCATAGGGGTATATGTGTGAGCCATGCATTCTCTCATGGATATATCTTCTTGGATAATTATATTAATCAAACAATATAATACAGCTTGATTCTATAGCCATCGATCCTTTACAGATTGTGATCAGCTGATTCATATATATCATTCATGGAGCTCTGATTTCTTGACTATTAACAAACTTGGTTAATTGATCAGGAATGAAATAGGAGACATTCTCTCTCTCTCTCTCTCCTATTTCATTCCTGTGTTGCATTTACTAAGTGGACATAACAGGACTGTTGGAGCATAGTACCTGGAGATGTCCCAAGAGAAATAAATAATGGATGGAGGGAAGGTGGGAAGCTGCCATTTAAGTGAGAAAATGAAGGCCAGATATAAGCCAAAGTGATTGAATGGAAGGTTTACGGGAGGAGGCGGCAAGGAAAGTGATGGTCAATAGCAATACAGCTGTTTTTATTCCTTGGGGTTTTTAGAGAGGTACTGAGAGAAGAAATTACGTGGTGAGAATTACAATGACCAAGTACATGGACCATAAACATCACGTACTGGGGAACATTTTGCTGCTATATTGACCAGCATGACTACCCCAAATTACTCTCTTTTGGCCCCTAACTATGCTAAACCTCATAATTAAAAAGGTCCCTATATCCTTCTAATGAGAGAGAGAGAGAGAGAGAGTTAGTGGCATATTTGAGTAGGACCTTTTCCTATGAATTAGGGAATGAGAAGAGTTTGTGGGCAAAGGGGATTTGAGTTAAGGGCAAAAATGTTATATATGTGTTACATAATCACACATTATAGAGATGGGGGACAGAACACTTTGGACTACTTTGGACAAGAATGATTGCACACCCAATTTAGGCTTTACTCGCTTGGTTTGGATTACTTTTATTAGGTGGATCAGTGATATACAGTGAAGTTATTCAATGTTCCTTCCCCATCTCCCTAAAGCAAAAGGATTTTAATTAAAGAAACACTGATGAGCATAGTGTCACCTATCTAATTCAACTGTTCAAGTTTAGACCCTTAATTAGACCTAAAAGCCTCGTTCATAGGGATGTTGGTCTACATTCAAGATAATTATGCACCCAAATCCTTCCATTAACATAACTGATGGATGATGCCCATGCTAGATAGACTCTACTACTTTGCATATTTCTTAAGGAAGAAAGCTTTATTAATGCAAAAGAATAACCAGGGGGCAGGTGACCTGATCCTCAAAGGTACATCAAGAGAAAAATTGCTCTAAAAAGTAAAAACCATCCAAAAAATTAAACCAAAAACAACAAAAATTTTAAGAAGTATAGCAGGGTGATCGATAACCCTTGTTTTTCCTTGTTGACCTTCGAACTTGGACCGTCTCCGGTACGTTCTTAGATTTACGGTTCTTTTGATTGATCATCCAAAAACTAATCAAATTGGTGCCATGGTTGGTGATTCATTGGATTGATATTGGGGACCATATATGAAAGGTATTCTCAAACGCAAGGTACCAACCAGCTGGTTGATAATTAAGGTTTCCTGTTGGTTGTAGCAAAGACTTGGGATCGAATCCCACCTGCACCTAGGTTGCGGGGGTTACGGGTTAGGGGATGAATTACACCCTGTTGTGTATTCCTTCAAAAGATATCAAAAAAAGAAGGGTATTCTCAAACAAGTCTCAGAAGACTCTGGTTGAAAATACATTTCCTAACATCTCTATTATATATGTTGAACCTTACAATAGCAGCTGGTCCTTATGCTCTAAAGGGTAGTTAGTACGTCTAACAAATGAGCTATATATAGGGGCTTTTAAACCTTCTTTATTTATATAAAAACCTATATCCCCAGCCCCTTTCAGATAGCAACTCCTCTTATTTGATTAGTTTTCCTTCTTCAATTGAGTTTTTGTCTCACTTCACCGACAACAGAGATAAAACTTTTGTTCTCAATGAGTCTAGTTGAAAACTTGAAAGCTTCTTTCGATGTGAATGGGGCCAGATAGATTGAGACCATGACTAGAGGGAAACATGCTTGTAGTCTGTCAAACTTTGATAAATTTGGGTAACTATATTGGGCTTGAATCACTTTTCCCCGTGATGTATATGAGACAGTTCACGTCAAATTTCTTGCGATAGCTTCAAAATATCCCACCTTTCTAGGGAGAAAATTTTATTCAAGGTCATACCGCCCAATATTTTTAGTCTGTGCACAAAGACAGCCTATTAGAAAGGTTTCCAATGTCCAATTCATAGTCTCATCATCACCATTATAGACAAAACTGAACAGCAAACTATCTATTCGCATAGTCAATGTGATGTATGAAGGAGGGACTCTGTCAATCCCCCACCATCCCTTAACGACCCATGAAGAAAAATGAGATCCAATAACTTGTGCCGACGAATTATCCCATAGGCTGTGTTTGGTTGCAATGCAAATAAATTTGTTATGATGCAAAATTATGACAGTGCAAATGATTTGAGTGTAAATTTTTGTTTCAAATTTTAGCTTATTTTATTTGATTGCAGTACAAATGAAGTAAATTAAGACATGAAGGAGAATAAAATAAAACCCAAAACAAAATTAAACAAGAATGTGCATTTTTTTTTTCATTTTGCACTTCCATACATTCGTACTAATATAAATAAAATTGCACTGCAACCAAACACAGCCATAAAGAATTTTACAAAGTGGTAAATTTGTTTTTCCATTTTCATTCCCATAATTCCTCCACATGCAGTGTACCTTGATCTTTTGCTTTCACAGATCTTATCGTTTTGGATTTGACAAGTTCATTGGTGGGTATAAGCATCAATTCAGTAAGAAAATCAGGCTTTACCCAAATTCAAGATTTCAATGAACTCGAAACTTTTCTTTTTTGTTTTGAAATTAGTAGAACCTTTCATTCAAAAAAGCTTTGCCATTTATTAAAGAACAAGTTCTCCCTCTAATATAAATGGTTAAATAGTTGCATGTAAATATATGTTATATTATCTCAATTTATTTTTACCATGCTATATAGGATTCTTATCTTGATTTCCAAGGCAAGCATGTCTCTTTGTGGGTAATTTCCCTTTTGGAAGACTAATATTAATATTCTTTAGATTTCATTGTAGTACTGCAAGAAAAGAGAGTATTTGTTCATGTATGACTATATACTTTTTGAGGTTTTTTTTTTTATAATGAGTATTTTTTTCCTGTTTGAGCATGGGAAACATCCAAACAACTGGTTTTGTTTCACCCTAAAATCATTCTTTGGCCAAAAACCGCTGACTTGATTAGTGACCACTAACTCAGGTAGT